CATCTTCTTTTCAAACGCCTAGGGATTATCAGGAATCGAGGAAGAAGCAAGGCTGGAAACAAGTGGATTCGGATGGGACTGGAGTTTATCATGAAAGGATAGGTATCTGTCTCGGTCTAAATCAGCGGCATATGGAAAATTAAGGTCTTTATGGATTGTTTTATTTGTGACAAAATGTGGGGTATTAAGGATTTTACGAAGGTTTTTGGATTGTAAGGATTGGATACGACAGGAATTCTATGGTTTGGTAGAGCCCCAAAGCTCAACTCCGTATGTCCGTATAGGTCTTATTATGGTTATGAATCTTATTAAGTAGATGAGTCTTTTGTAGTTATTTGAAAGTTTGGAGCGTTTGTCTAGTAAGTGTTGGAGCATTCGGAAACGTCGAGCAGTTTCTTACCGTTTCAGTCTAGTATGCGGATTCAAAGTGAGACGCTTATCCAAGTGGAGTCCTAGGTAGCGGATTTGTTCAACAGGAACAAGTGGAATATCATTGAAGGGTATCGTAGGACATGAAGTTGGACGTTTACGACGAATGGTAAAGATAATTTGATGAGATTTACTGCAATTTATTTTAATGTATTTAAATTCAAATATTTATTTTAACAAAAATAAAATAAAACTTATTATTGATTAACGTAAATTAAAAATATATATATATATACAATAAGAAAAGTTTAATTGTAAGATAAACGAACTCGGCACTGAAACATATAACGGAAACCGACACCTATATTTGTTTCGCCAGCTTGTTCTTCACTCACATGCCATTCCCCCAGTGTCTCTTGAATCGTAACTGGACGGAATTAATTTATTATAATTAGCCGAGCGCTAACCGAAAAGAATAGTAAGTTAGAATGTTGGGTCTAATCATGTTATAACCTTTTTTCGCAAACCGCAATCCACCTCCAACGAGGCGTGTTAGGTGATTTAGTGTAATCTAATATCGTAAATATGAAGCATGGGAGTATAAGCTAAAAAAAAATATAACAATAAAAATTGAATAATGATAAATAATGAATAAATAAAAATCTGGTGTGTCCACCCACACGGCTACCCTACCTATTTCAGAAAAGTTTATATATCTTTAAATATGTCCATTAAGAAAAAAAATTAATTGAATTAGATTTATTTTCCTGAAAATTGATCAAAGAAAAGATTTAAGTACGATTTCTTAGATAAACTAAAGGAATGTAAACCGGCTTGTGGAAGATCAGCGTAAAAAATTCAATACACTCTAATATTGCTAATCAAAAACTTTTTTACCTTAGCCCAATTTTGTTAAACAGCAATTTCTGTTAAAAGTCGAGAGAAATATATTTTCTTACTTTCACTAATTTTCTTTTTTCCCATTCATTCACAGCTTAGATCCGTAATAAATTAAAACATGTGTAGAAAATAAAATGCGCCGTATCATCGCTAATATACATACTTAGTGAGTTAGGCCCCAAAATATTTTTCTTTTATATATAAATTTTTTTCCAGAATTTTCTCGAGGATTTAGTACATGTAAAAAAATTGAAAGGACATTAATTAAAAAATTATAGGAAAGTTTCATCAAAATCGTTAGAGCAGCTTTAGAGCTACAACCCGGAGAAAAATATGTTTTTCACTTATTGCTCAGCCGCTATTGCGTATGGAGCACCCAATTTGTCTCACAGGCACCAGTAACCAAAAACTTACAAAATAAAAAAAAAATAACTAAATCTTGGCATAGACAGACAGATGGCTGAAAATGTGTTTTTCGCACTAACTATGAATTCTATAGATCCGTCGAAAACCGCATGTCAGAAATTTGACCCGATAGCAATACTTTCCGTACCTAGTATAGGTAGGAAAGTAAAAAGACATTGTCTGTTTGTATCTATGTTGAACGATGTTCTCAGTTATTGTTTAGTTATCTCAATGCCTAAACAATGCCTAGGGCAGTCGGCGCCCCCGGACGATGAAGTCACCTCTCCCTTATTAAAAATTAAATTTATTTTTTAAGCTGTTTTAATTATGTTTTATTATTTGAATTTTATTTTATTCAAAATTTCTCTAATACAGCAGCTTTGTTGGTAAGCAAAAATTAATTATTTTAATACATTTAAAAATTTTTTTTTTATTTCTAATAAGTGTGAGCGCCCCTGAATCGGCGCCCGACAGGCCAGGACCCTCCAGGTTGGAGATCCGGGGCAATCTACAAGAGGGGAGGGGGGTTGCTTTCGGACTGAAGTCCTCCCCCCAAAATGGTAAAATCTAACCATGTTTATGGTACAAAATTATCTCTTAAAATATTATTGTTCGTGTAATTACATTTAATAGAACTTCAAGAATCACTTAAACACCATTTCACATAGGTAGTTCATACTTCCTCATTACCCGTTCCTATCTAACCGATAGAACTTTCAAAGTAAATCATAATAATGCTCATTCATCCCTTTTTTCTCAGTCCGCTGGTGTTCCTCAAGATAGTATTCTAGAACCTAACTTTTACACAGTTTATATAGCTGATATTCTATGTATCCTTTAATAATACTGAACTTATCCCTGTTGAACAAATCCGATACCTTGGACTCCACTTAGACATGCATCTAACTTAACTTGGAATCCTCATACCAGACTGAAACGACAAGAAACCGCTCCACGTTTTCGAATACTCCAGTATTTACTAGACAAACGCTTTAAGCTTCCAGTTAATTACAAAAGATTGATATACATGACTACCATTAGACCTATTTGGACTTATGGAGTTGAGCTCTTGGGCTCAACTAAGCCATCGAATTGCTGTCATATCCAATCCTTACAATCCAAAATCCTTCATAAAACACTCTCTGCTCCTAACTTTGCCACAAATAAAATCATCTATAATGACCTTAATGTTTCTTATGTTTCAGATCTGACCCAATCCAGATAACTATCCTTCCATAATAAACTTCAGAATCATCCCAACCCTCTCGTTCCTAATCTTGCCACCTCTTCAATTCCTGATAACACTCCGAGGCGTCTGAAAAGAAGATGGCCCCGTGATCTCCTAATGTAGACATGTCATTAGAGTCCTACCGTTTGGTAGTTACTCAACAAGTGTTTTCACGTCATTATATAGATATGTTCAAATTTACTAAATGTATTTCTTTAATACAGCTGTAAACATCATTAAGAAATAATAGAAAAAAAAGTTGTTTTTCTAATCAAGCCTTTAGCCAAGATCGACTATAAGAGCTGAAAACCGTTTCTCACTATGAATTGGTCTCATGGGCTTTTGCGCCGTGGCTGTCAATATACATCGTTATCAATTTTTTTCCATTGATATATTTGTTTCATATCGTATAATTTCGTTTCATTTTTTGTTCTTTGACTCACATGATTATTGATTGTTAGTGCCAATTAATATTTTATCAGCTGTGCGATATTGATAAAAAATTATCTTTGCGAGAAATAGCATTGAGAACAAGATTCTAATCTCCTCGCCAAAAAAATATATGAAAAGTAGTGATATATAGGATTTAGAGAATTTAATTTAATATTTTGAAAAATGAGCTATTTTAAATTGAAATAAACTGTTTCTACTTTTTAATTAACAATAACGTCATTAAAACTTCACGTATCCCAAAAAGTTGCAATAAAAGTGAAGATCTGCATTCACTTGATCTTCATCTATATTTCACTTCACTTTCACTTCATCTCTGATTTATATTTAAAAAAAAAAATTAATCTGAAATTCACTTGTTTAAATCCTATTTCTTTTTTAAAAATAATTTGTAAGAAGAAATATAATGCCCAACGAGCTGTCGATTTTCATCTTTGTAGTAGTCAAGAACTTATTTTCCATTTGAGAATATTTTTACGAATTTAATATATTAAATGACATCTTAAAATCAGTCGAATCACAGGGTGCCAAGTTCTGAACGTTTTGAATTCGATTTCTTGGTCAGTTACCATTTTTTTTGTGGATCTTATTCTAACTGGAGGCATTTTATATCGTTCTTGAGACTTAATTTGTGGATGAATAATTTGACAAGTTATAATAAATATGGGTAAAAATGTATTTTCATAAATAGGCTTGAGAATTTATAGGTATTAATACTTTATAAGTACATTGAATAAAATGAAGAATGATAGTCGAAGAACTAATGAAGAAATCAAAAAAGGGTTTTCATCAGGTAAAATTTTCATTAAATATATTCTTTTAATTACAGCAAAAGATAAATTATATGCTAAAACTGTTTGACAGACCCTCAGTAATGACTAAGGGGACCCCCATGGTTCCACAGACCACATTTTAAGAACCTATGATTAAATAAGTATAAGAATAAAGGACAATAAACTCTGTTGTAATAATATCATGACACTCTCTCCACCTGTAGGATAGTAATGAGCTATAAATTGAATAAATGGAAGAGTTCCAATGTTTTCTTGTAGTAGTTAAATGTATTTCAGTGAATACAAGTGGCCATTGACAGGGGTGTTCATCCCCCCCAAGGTCGATGGTGCAAAAACCTATCTCCCCCTCCCAAGATATTTTACTGCTCACCTTTTTTTTTAAGAACAGAGGAAGCGAAGGTAGAATTATAAAATTTGGAGATCATACACAATTACACCTGCTGCGGTCTGTTCTATATTTTCCCTGTGTCACTTAGTCTGAAACTTTTCATTCTGGAAATTTATAACCCTGTCGAAATGGGCCTCCTTCAAACATTCAAAAACCTGTCAAAATATGCCTCCTTAAAAATTTGATGGCACAACTTGCACTATCAAACCCCCTTCTGGGCATCCTTAGCAATTAATTCTCAAAGCAAGATTATATTAAAAAAATACATTATGTTGCATTAATTGCAACTACATAGATAAAAACGGATGGTTCAAACTCATACTCTGTTTATCTCTGTCAAAAAACAAAACAAAAAGAAATGGAAACATTCAATAATAAGTTGCTTGATATTGGAAAAAAAAAATATATTAAGATAATGCTTGAATTAGAATTGGTTAAAAATTAAAGTAAAAAAAAAAAGGTTTACCTGATAACTGCAATATGATCCTTGATTTCATGTTTCCTAGAGCTGGGTTGTATTTCCAATACAAGGAAATTTTTCTTGCTGGCTAAGTATGTTGAGAAGTCAACTTGCCATTTATGGGTCACACAAACTTCACCTGGCTTATAGGACCTATGGAATATAAAGTATGACTTTATTTTAAAAGCTCTATTTAAATACTCTATTGAATTTTCGTTAGGAAATGCCTTAAATACTCCTACATTTTATAACTTTACATACAACATTTTTTTTTTTACTTGTTGTTATAAAATAACTATAAGCTAGAAAAATATAGGTACACATTGGTGTAAGTATGATAACGGATGCCTGATGTAGAAATGTTTTGAGGTCTCATAAGCTTCTTATTCAATATTTGAAGATATGGCATGCTAATACAATGTAAGTTATTAATTTTATTAATACATATAGTATAATTTGAAATTGTATTTTATTGATAAGAATAGGATAGCTCAATGGCTAAGGCAGGTACTTATCAACTACAGGTACTGTAACTCAACTACAGGTAAATATTTATTCTGTGATATCAGCTGTGGATTGATTCTGGGTGCCTCTTTAAAGTGGTTACTCTAAATTAATAAAGGGAAAAAATGTCTTTGAGTGTGATATTGGCCAAATCACATCTTTCTACAACCTTCTGCTTAAAAACTGTACTTACATAGATTTTATTTTATTATTGTGATTATTAAAAAAAAAAAATCTTTCTCCACTTTAAGACTCCTACTTCTTTACCAATTTACATCCCCTGCACTGAGGTCTGAGAAATCGGATAAGAAAAACGGATTCATAAAGTAAGAATTCAGTTTGTATCGTACAACAATTTAATAAGTACACGTTTTCCAATTACCAACTGAAAGTTTACTTAGGAAAGTTTTCCTTTTGTATTTGGTGCCAGGAGCTTTATTATAACAATAAGAAAACACTTAGCCTTAACACGAGGTGAGAAAAACTGAGTATTTTTGTAGAAACTTGAAAAAGGAATAAAATTGTTGATGATACAAATATATTTTTAATATCTCATGGTAGCATTTCTTCTTCTCATTAATACTGGTTTAAGAGTTAATCCGAGGAACAGGAGAGAGGAAGCATCTAAAAGTACAGGTCTTAGAAGATTCATTCTGATTAAGTCAGATAAGGAGATTGAAAGAGTATCACTCTTCATTAATTCGATGGAGGAGGAGAAATCAATAGATTTTTAAAAATTGGAGAGGATATAAAAAAAAAGGATTAGTATTCTAGGTTAATAAATCAGGCTTGAATGTAAATTAAATAACCTAATTAATTTTCTGTTACTGAAATCATAGGGCCGACTTATCAAAATTATTGGGAGGAGGTAGGGACAGTCATACCTGTGTCACTGACCGACATTGGACGCTGCTAAACAAATTGTACTATACCTGCTACTATGGACAAGAGCGATATATTCATGAAGTTTATACTATAGCAATTTGTTGAGGGGAGCTGAGCTCCTCACAGTGACAGAATTGGAGGAGCTCAAACCCTGCGACCCCCTAGTAGTCTAGTCGATGCCTATGACTGAAATTAATATATCACATAAAAGTAATCGGATATATAACAGTACTTACAGTTTGACCACAAGCGGAAATGTCATTTCTTCATTGGTCCGTAGTCCAGCTGGCATCTGCAATTTGACACTTGCTTTGTGTCCCTCATCAGTTTCTATCTGCAGTGATTTTTTCATTACTATTAGATCAAAAATAAAATTTAGGGCTATATAAAAACTTATTCCATATTAACTCACTTGGAATATTTTTGTTTGAGGTATTGATAGGCTATCATATTTAACTCTCAGGTGTCTGTTGTCTTCGAATGTAAATAGTTTGATGTTTGTAGCGGTGTCAATGATATGCACTGATGGTACCTCAGGACCTGTGATACATTCACTAATCAAGTGTTAAAACTAGATAATGTTTAATACAAAATTTTCTCTGTATCCATCTCACATACCTAAACACTCCAGCATGTAAAACTTTCCAAGAAGTGAAAAAGTTGATTTGGTGAAGATGCATTGTTCAGTTCTAAATGGTGGCCATGTTGTGTTCTTCCTAAGCAAAATCTCAAATTGATCAATACAAGCTATTGAAATCTAAAACAAATTTATATAGTAAACAAATTTAGTAGCAATTTATTAAGGAATTGCAAAATATAATGTATTATGTATATATGAGTCAAAATTATTTCTAAAATTCTCACGTTCTTAAATATAAAATTTATGAGGCGTAGAAAGAATCTGCAAGAGATGAAAATCATATCAATCAAATATACATTATATTTAATTATAATGTAAATAGGAAGCTGCCGACAACCAAACAATCCCTATATTCTATAATTTTGTAAACGTGTGTTTGTTACCCACCCATTTATTTGAATTATGTTTAAATTTATTTCATATTGCCATGATAGTGTTAATTATGGTTATATATATAATATTAATAACTTACTCAGTTTTGTTCACAGGACATGTAAGGCATTCTTCATTATTCTTGTTTTCAAGGGTTCTATACAAATGTCTTTCAGATGGTCTACCTGGAGGAGAAGCTTCAAAGTACCTGAATAAAAACATAATTTTGTGTTACTAATCAGCACAAAACATTTAGAAGATAGCATTGCAATGATCTGTTGTAATGTAATTATTATTATTATAGAAATTATTTTAAAAACAAAGATATTTACACATGAAATTAGGTTTTTCATTGCTCAGTAACCTTAGTTATCCAAAACTCACATATAAGAATCAAATACTCCATGAAGTGACAAAGGAACTAGAGACCATCTCCATTGCCTAGGGTTGAGGGGGACTAAGTCATCTTCTCCAGAACCTTTTTCGAAGTAGGTCTACAAAAATGACAAAAATAGATGCAAAAAATTGCTCAGTATGACCTGTTCAAAAATCATTGTTTTATGAATAGATACCTTTGTACAATTAAAGTCAGGAGCAATACATGTCATGTAAATGGAGGAGTTTTGACCTCTGCTCATCCAAACAACATCCAGTTGTTTGTCTGATGCCCAATGAACTTTCAGCAAATACCCATGTCTAATAATAATAATAATAAATAAAATATTTATTTCAGAACAAGTATAAAAAGAATTACAGGTAGAAAGATAAAATATATTAAAAAAAGAAGGTAAAACTATATAATAATGTACTCACGCTGTTTGAAATGACTTTGGTGAACTTAGTTGAATCTTTGGAAAGTTGGAGTTCTTTAAATGGACTACAAACAGAGTAACTATTGGATTTGGTGTTCCAGGCTGCAAAAATTATGAATTAGAGGATCAGTGATATTTAAGTTAACTAGAAATGAAAGATTAATTTAAGTAAAAAAAAAATATATATATTTAGAGTACTATACATATAGCTTGTGATCAGAAAGGATTTTAACAAGGTAATTAAATTGTTCAAAGTTAATAAAGTAAATTGAAATTACTGTTAAAATAACCTTTATAAGAAACTTATCATTAAGAGCAATGGATACATTATTGTCAATGGGTAATAGAATTAGTTCTACCCTTGATCTAATAGACAATATAGAGATTAAGTTTTACATTTATGGTGAATTATATTTTCATGCAGATTTCAGATGGTGAATATACATAAAATAAGATACAACCAACTCATTTTATTAGATGTTGCCTACAATATACTTCTTATATGATACCTTATTTACTTTCATAACTTACATAAAAGATGAATTGTTAAACAATATGTATCTATCAATTCAGATATAATTGCAGAGATTTTCAATTATTTTATTAAATAATTATTATTTATCTCTTCAATTATTTACTACAGTCATCTATCTTTCCACTATCGTCAATTTAGATATACTTGATCTAAAGCCAGATATCCAAATAAGGGAAGTAGAAACTAAAGTAAATAGCAAAGGATCAAATGAGATTTTCTATACGAATACCTGTATATACACATAAATGGTGTCAGAATAATTTGAAAGATGCAGGAATGAATGTCATTAATGTGAATGTAAATCTTTCAAAAACACACCCTATCAGAATAGTGTGCCAGATATTCAGTTCTAAAAAATGGATCTCTTGAGGGGTAAATGCAGTTAATAAATAATAAAAATCAATAAATAAATAAAAAGTCAATCCCTGTCGGCCACATCTCAACTAATTATTGGGTTTAGCAGGAAGCTATTGTAGGTGTTTTTGTACTAAATAAGAAGAAAGCAAAAATATTATTCTGGAGTGATGCAACATCAGTTCTCGATACATTAAAAATGAATTGGGGCAAGAGGTGTTATGAGCTAGCATTACAACTGAAGAAGCTAAACCACATTAGCGAAACTTTTGGTTTAGTAATGGATTTCTTCACACTGTGTTATCAGAGATAATGAGAATGGAGATAAATTGGCAAACATTTTGAAGACAAAACTCTCATCTTTACAATTGCAATTCACAATTGGAAATAGTCCCTTGTATAAGTGTTTTAGGGATGAATAAACAGATGAGCATGTTCTTCAGAGTTGTTGTCTTTTTAATGAGGCAAGAAGGAAGATTTGGCCTGTTCCTTCAACTGACCTGATCACTTGCTACCAAACTCAATAGAACACTGTAGGATCTTAGGAAAACCACTGATTATATTGTTTTATATCGGGATGTGATCATTTAATTGTAAGAATGAAGAAGAATGGAACATCAATATTTGACCTATTTAAGTCCAAATTTCATATAAATGGACCTTATCTAGACAGTATGTATTAGTAATTCTAGTTCTACTAAACAAAAACAATCATTTAAGATAATTCGCAGCTTTAGATTTAGAGAAATATTGTTAAATTAATGGAGGTATTATTAAATTAATAGAGCTTGGATAAATTTGTTGACCTACTATTCTCAAAGAAGTAATAATCTACTCCAATTAATTTGAAGTGAATTTGGAAAGTTGTTATATTGTATTGGTATATATTGTAGGAAAAACAAAATAAAATTTTTAATGAAATAGTTATGAATTAACTTTTAGAATTTATCTAGCATCTATGAAGAATCATCTGATTGAATTGTCTAGCGATTTTTATTATATGGACCATCTGAAGTAAAATGAGATAAATTACAATGAAAAATTATTATTTTATAAAATTAAATACCTTGGGATATGGAATGGTCACCACTCCTTCTTGAGCTTGAGAAACGTAAGTGGGTATGGACACTTCACTAACAAGAGTATCATCGAAGGAAGCATAGGCTAAGTGTGAGGAGTCAGGTGAGAACCAAAAAGCTACATCGTCTTTGAAAATTTCTTCTGAAAATTAAATATAGTGGTTACTTTCTGGTTGTACTATGGAAAATAGTAAATTGAAGGGGTGAGAAATATTTTAAGTTAGGCAGGATTGGATTTAAAGTTTTTATGCTTCTAATTCTAACAATTTTTCCTACCCCTTTTTCATACCATATATTATAATTAGAATGTAAACCAATCATGGCTACAAATAATTCAATAAAGTCTACATTTAACAAATATCTTACAAACCCTGGTATAGCCAATCTGGTATCCCATTTGTTACTTTTGCGCTTAAGCTGTTTGTAATTCTTGAGGGATTTCTGCTGAATGAGGAGTTACAGTAGTAGAGATCATTATGGTGAATGAAAGCATATGCATTTCCCGTAGGGGTGAATTGGAACCTTTGTATCCTGTAAGTGGTCTCTTCAAAGTTGGTATCCTTTGGTCCTACTGCATGGCGCGTTCTGAAACACAATAATTATAAAAATTAATATTAAATTATTAAATATTAAAAACAATAAATATTAACATAGAGATTAAAGTTGTTAATATTACATTATATCATATCACTAGCGGCTCAAGGATTTAATTTTTGGGGGCTTCAGCCAGAAAACTTTTTTCTTACATATATAAAACGATAATTACTTTGGAAAAAAAGAAAGATACTAACTATCTATATGAAACAGTGTTTAAATGATTCTTGAAATTCTATTAAATGTAATTTCATGAACAATATTACTTTAAGAGATAACTTTTTAATATTTTTTTACCATAAAACAAGGTTATATATTACCATTTTGGGAGAGGGGAGAGGCTTCAGCCGGAAAGCTTCTCTCCTCCCCCTAGATCCGCCTATATATCATATTATTATATGATAATATTAAAAGAAAGTAATGATTTAAACAAATTAAAAGAAGTGCTCTGATTTTAAGTAATGTGCTTCAATTAGACAGTGACCAGAGCTTATCAGCAGTATTAACTTTGAGTGATAATTTTTTTGTCCAAGTAGTGTCTAATATTATATAACATTAAGAAGAGGAATGCAATACTAAGCTAAAATATAATGAACTGTCTTTTAAGTTTTGTCAGTTTCACTGACAAGTATTTAATTTGAAAAAAAAATCCAAAAGTCGCTCCTTTAACAGATTCTTCAAAAATGAAAGGCTGGTCACCCAAAGGTGAGTTTAAAGATTGTGGTTTTGTTGGTAATGGAAGAATACTTTGTGTGAGGAAATGTAGGGTATCTGCTCTGATAGATTTTGTTGGAGATCTATTTTAGAGCAAGGTAAGTAATATTTTAGTATTAAAATATTATCATTACCAAATTAAGCCACATAATGGAGATTCCATAAAAATTTACATAGGTTTTAGATTTTATCTAAAATAAAATTTGATCTGAAATAAGTGAGTTCAGTGTTTTTTCATATTGTCCAATGAGGTGAGGACACAGGTTGATCTATACTGAGAGAGTGAGCTTTCGGGCTGAATGGTAAGATATGGTAAGACCCAGGTCTCATGAAAAAAATTATTTCTAAAAGTATTATTATTATTCGTGTAATTACTTTTAATAGGACTTAAAGAATCACTAAAACACCATTTCAGATAGTTAGGGCATTTCTTCTTTTTCTAAAGTAATAATCAGTATATACATACATATATACATAGAAATAGAAATAGAAATAGAAAAATCATCTTTATTCTGGGACTAGGTCCCTTTAGAATAACAGTATTGTTCATATATATTAACTACAAATCTGGTCAAAAGACTTATTACAATGAATAATGACAAAATACATGTAATACATTAAGTATTAATTAAGCTCTTAGGATAAATTAACGAGGACAGTTTGGTAATAGGGGTTCAGTACTACAATATTGGAGCTAAAATAATTGCATAATAATCACTGAATGAAATTATAAAGGAAAGTAAAATCTATTTTATAGGTAAAGCATTGTAGTGATGGAATATAAAAATTTAAAAAAATAATAATAACTGTTAATATGTAGGGAAAGAAATTGTAAAAACTAAAACAAAAAAATATATAAAAAAACAAATAATGATATACATATGTTCCCTAAGATATTTAAGTGATTATGCGTAAAGATTAGGAGAAGAGAAAATAAAATAAAGTATATATATACACATAGCGAGAAGTATGTTGAAGATAATTAGAAATAAAATACATTTCACTGAAATACATTCCATGAATAACAAATTAGAACTTAAGGAAAACAAATTTTATCTACTCACAATGCTTAGTGAGTGGTGATGAAAATTCACGTTCAACACAGAATAAAACAATAAAAAATAAGAGAAAAAAAATAATGTCTAAAGAAAATTAAATCCTTATAACATAGTATGTATTTAACCAGCGTCTGATTGGATTGTGAAGAGGAATTGGAATAAGAGGGTTTTAAAGGTGGATAAGGATGATGCATGGCGGATTTTTAGTGGGATGGAATTCCAGAATGCGGTGGAACGGACAACGAAGGAATGTTTAAATGATGCAGATCTGTGGAAAGGAGTGTAAAGGTCAGAAGGACGAGATCTTGTGGAGAGGGTGTGGATAGATGATTTGAATTGTAGGAGATTGTATGCGTAGGACGGACGATGACTATTGATTATTTGGTAAAGGAATGTGCCTAGGAAATATTGTCTTCGGAAGGAAGGGAAGAGCCATCCTAATTCAGCATAGTGGTGCGAAACACGGGAATACCTCAGGGCCCCTGTGACAAATCTTACGAAGGCATTCATAATTCTTTTCAGTCTCTCCCCGAGTTCTGCCGAGAGGCCACCGTACACCACGCAGCCGTAATCAAGGTGGGGGAAGATGAGGGAAGTTACTAGGAGTCTACGTGTGGAGATGGGTAGGAGATGGCGGAAGCGATGGAATAGTTTCAAGGTACCAATTGACTGTCGGGTAATGTGAGCAATATGGTGTTTCCAGGATAGGGTTTGGTCTATGAAAATGCCTAGGTTTTTTACTGAGGAGGTGAAGGTAATGGGATGGTCATTTAGGTACAGTATAGGTATGTTGGTATTGGCTCTGAGAAGGGGTTTGGAACCAATGACAATGGCTTGAGTTTTTGCAGCGTTTAACCTTAACCCATTTAAGTTTGCCCAGGCACTGATCCGATTCAAGTCTTCTTGAATTTTGGCAAACGCTTCATGCAACTCTGAGGGATGGAAGGAAAGGTAGATTTGGGAGTCATCGGCGTAAAGGTGATGGGAGCAGTGAAGGATTGAATTATGGATGTCATTGATATAAGAACTAAAAAGGAGGGGAGATATGCTAGAGCCCTGGGCCACTCCTGCGGACAAAGTAAGATAGGAAGACAAGGGTTGATTAGGAATAGCGACAGCTTGTGAGCGTTGGGAAAGGAATGATTGAAACCATAGGATAGAACTATGGGAAAAGGATAATGATTTTAATTTGGAAAAGAGAATGGAGTGGTTGATGGAATCAAAGGCTTTGGAAAAGTCAATGAGTATAAGGACGGTTAGTTTTTTGTCATCAATGGCGGACTGAACATCATTAATGATTTTGATTAGGGCGGATTGTGTGGAATAACCTGGTCGGAAACCAGATTGGTAAAGGTCAAGTTGATTGGACTGTTCAAGGAAGGTGGAAACTTGGGATTGCACAATTCTCTCCAGGGGTTTGGAAAGGTTAGTAAGGATTGAGATTGGCCGGAAATCTTCAGGGGAAGACGGATTAGAATATTTATTTAAAGGACCGACTGTGGCTTTATTCCACAAGGAAGGGAATACTGAATTTTGAAGGGAAAAATTGTAGATGAAAAGGAGTACCGGAAGGATTTCAGGGAGGCATAATTTAATTAATTTGACGGGAATGCCATCTGGACAAATAGAATTAGAGTGTGATTTCATCACGGCGGATATGAGGTCTGTGGGAGAAATATCTGAAAAATAAAAATCGGCGTCATTGAAAGATGTTCCAGGAGGAAAGAAGGAAGGAAGGGAACATACATGCATACATACATGTATATACTTATTTTTGAGGTTCTGAGACTTGGGTGATCTCCAAAGCTTCGGAAAAAATGCTACTCGCATGAGAGAGAAGGATTATCCGCAGGATCTATGGCCTGATGAGCGAACATGAACAATGGAAAATTTGCAAAGAGCTGTATGAGATGTATGCGAGGCCGGATTTGGTCTCAACTATGAGGGGAAACCAGAGCAGATGGTTGGGCCATGTGGCACATATGCCCCGAGACGCGATTCACAAACGCTTGCTAGAGGATTAGCCTGCTGGAAAACGTAGAAGAGGAAGACCACGCCTGAGATGACTGGACCAGGTTGAGGACGGCCTGAAAAGGATGGGAATTCGAAGATGGAGGATAATCGCTCTGGATAGAGGAGAGTGCAGAAGGATCATAAGAGAGGCCCATGTTTTTTTTTTTTCAGTACCGTAGCGCCGAGAATAAATAAATAAAAATATGTATGTTTATAAAAAAAAAGCTTTCGGGCTTAAGCCTCCCAAAATTAAATCCTGGATCCGTTAGTAGGTTCCATGTATCTTTTTAAAAAATAAAAATCATTCGAAATTAATTAAGTTATCATACTATAATCATGACAAATTCAATTTATCGAAATGACAATTGTTAATTAATTTATATTACGGGAAATACTTATTGAAAACGAAAATAAAATTGAATTTAGTGTTAATGGTTATTTAATTTTTCTCGTTTAGATGTGAAAATTGTTTTTATATAAGTTAACGTAAATTTCAGAGAAAAAAAAGCAGCTTGGGAATAATTAAATAGCTACTTACGCGGATTCCTTTTCCATAATGGTGTAGAGTGCGTCGGATCTGTGACTGTACTCCTTCCTTATATCAGATATGAATACGATGAACCTTTTGTCCGAAGATATTCTGAAGTCTACAGCGTTGAGCATTCGCTACAAAAAAAAAAAATTCCATAAGTAATGGAAAATAAGGGACGGTCATGATAATCTGAATACATGGACTGTTAAGATTATCGAAGATTAAATTTAAAATTATTGAAAAGCTAGAATATGTGTATTATCCTGTAATTCTCTTGTATCCTGTACCACTAACAACTCAAAAAGGGTCTTGGGTTGAGTACAATGTGAGCAAGTACTGTTACAAGGCCATCGGTTGTGCAGGGAGGTGGCGGGCCAATATCAAGCTCAACCACCAGGATTTTCCCCTTAATTAATTATTTAATTAAGAGTACCCAATTTATGGAGCCGGGATTTGCCCCAGGAGGTCTCCAGGTCCCAGGATAGGTCTTATCAGTTAAATATAAATACATTCCAACATAAAAAATGATTTTTGAAAATGATCATGTAATGTATGTTAAATCTATGATTTCGTTGCTAAAGAAAACGCCTGATCTCGCCTCTTCCTTATGGCTTCGGTACTAGACATTGTATCCCATTCCAAGCAAGTATTAAATGACTTCATGGCATTTCTATGACTTATCTATAATGTAAAATAACATGGGTGTAAAGAAATTTTCCAGTGAAATAAAAATTAAATTACTGCTTTGTCACCCTTCTTAAGAAAGTATTAAAGAAAATATTTGCTTTTTCAGCTAATTTGTTCCCGGAAGTTGGACACCATTCGTGATATCTGCTGCAAAAACCACATTTAAAGAGATTGCTCAAATTCTGGATGACTGATCTTTTCCTTTTAGATACACCACAATACAATATCGACACTTCGATTTTTATATATATATATATATATATATATATATATATATATATATATATATATATATATATATATATATCAACCCATGGAAGATCTTGGGCTCAGTACTTTGAAACGAAGTACAGTTTCAAGGCTTTGCGGTTGTGCAGGGATGTGATTGTGTAGGCTTAACTGCCAGCTTTACACTATAATTAATTATTTAATTGAGGTTAATCACTTAATTAAACAATAGATAATTAATTATAGAGGCTGGATGTGTTGCGGGAAGATCATCCGATATCAGGATGTAATAACTACATTATATGGGTACATTTTCAAGTAAACCAACTCGAGAACGGACAGAATATTCATTAGAACACTACGAAGAAAACCCTAATTTAGAAAAATGGTGGATTCAACAAAAAAAAAAAATCATTACGCTATTTTTTGGAAATATGCCTTCCTGAATCTTCATACACGATACATCTTCAAATTGAATATTATTGAAGAATTACCAGCCGTTTACGGGTCATTAAATGGAACACAATCGTTTGACAACATTTAGTCCAACAGTTTTTGATACTACCTTGAATTGCAAGTCAGTTCTTATTCAGAATTTAACTAGATATTAAAATCTTTCAAATAATTGTATTTTAATAAGTCTAAATCGATTTAACAGTTTTTCAAATACAGTTAAATGGATTCAACGAAATTTTTTTTGCGACCTTTTTGTAAACACACCTTCCTGGCTCGTCTAACGTGATATATTTTTATTCCCTATGCCATCCTGATTATTGTTATTAAACGAAACAATTGCAGTAATATGTACTGAGGAACAAAGCCATTTCCCTCCCGTCTCTCGTCATTGAACTTAAATTTTTTTGTCTTGTTCGGATTATCGGCGGTTTTGGATTAATAGGGGTTCAGATTATCTAGACCGTCCTGTATTTACATTAATAATAGCCGCCAAGAGCTACAAAAAAGTGCATATAGACCGTATTTCTTTTTTTTTTTTTTAATTAATTATTACCTATTCATATGAACATCAACTATGAGCCATTTTTCTAGACAATCACATATTTTCTTACTTACCCAAAACAGTAGAATATTAAGTTTTCTGCTGCTCATTTTTAAATAAGTCACCTGCTCTTTTTACTTTCCTACTTATACTAGCTAAGGAAAGTATTGCGATCGGGTCAAAGTTCCGATATGCGGTTTTCGGCGGATCTATACGTTTCAGCCCCCCTCACAGTTTTCTGAAAGGTAATGAAATTCCCTACAAAACTATTTAAAAATCGTTCATTTTGGACACCTATTAACGAAGTTACAGCTATTCAGTTTCCAATGTAAGATTACGAATTCCGCCGGAGAGGCTTTTTCGAGAGAGAGAAAAGATAACTAAGTGAAAGTAAGAAAATCTGTTGCCCGCATCATACAAGATTCACTATTTCCTCCGCTTTTAAGAAAAATTATTGTGTGACAAAATTAGGATATGGCAAAAAGGTTTTGATCAGCAATATTAGAGGGGTTTGAAATGTTTACACTTCATCTCCCTTAAGCCGGTTTACATTGCTTTAGTTCATCAAATAAATCGTATTAAAATCTTTTCGTTGATCAATTTTCAGGAAAATTAATCTAATTCAATTTTTTTTTTGGTTTCTTAATGGGTATATGTAATAATATAAAAACTTTTCTGAAATAGGTAGGAAAGTCACCAGATTTTTTAATAGGAACAACCTAAACAAATATTTAATATAGGTAATTACCAATTACTTCATTCTACAGAAGACAATATTTTCTGGAATGTAAGTACGACTTGTCTTAATGAAACTATTTTATAGGGGCCTTGAAGCAGCTAAACTACATTAAGTTCTGCTTTTTTTAAATAAAAAATCATGAAGCATTCGCTTTATCTATTTATTATTATTTTATTTTATTATATTTATTTTTATCAACCTTCCTAACTTAATGTAGAGTTATGTTTTTGATAAAATTATGGATTACTCGCGGTTTTTTTTCCATTGGACTACAGATAACACACTTTTAGAAAAAAATATAGAGATACTAAAATATAGTGATGTGTACGAAATAAGATATAATATAACTACTAGGGACAAACATGAATAATTAGTACTATAATATATAATTCACTTGCTTGGTACAATGGATGAGTCACTGATAATTAGTGTTGCCCAAATGCGAGACCGAGATGAGTCTTGGTCTTGCAAACTCAGCCTCGGTCATGGTCTTGGTCTTGCAAACTCAACCTCGGTCATGGTCTTGGTCTTGCACAAGATTCTCGCAGTTACTTATTAGCTTATTAATATAGTAATATTACTGTATTTTTTTAGAAAGGAGAAACCTAACTAAGCCCGAATGAAAAAATAGAGGAGTTGAATGCAAAAGTATATTAGCTATATCAGTTATTAACATACAGTAACTAAGATTGTCAAGTATTAATAATTTTTTTTGGATTAACTTTTATTAAAAAAGTTGATTTTTTTTACCAGTCCTGGTCTTGGTCTCGCAAAGTGCAAGACCAAGACCTATTTTGGGCAACACTACTGATAATGATAATACTTACATCAATAAATCATAAAGCTATTTGATGTAAACAATTTTATTTACATATTTTTTAATTTTAGTCGTAAAATGGATTCTTAATTCAGAATAATTTTCCCTTTGCCCATTGATATAATTTTGAGGCTGTAAGCTTTTTGGAATGATGGAAATTTAAAATTCTTTTAATATTTTTTAACATTGGAATGTTGTATTCGAGTCAAAAGCACTAGAAGGAAAAAACGCATCTTTGATTGAGTATGGAGAGAAAGCATCTTTTTTGGAAAAAATTAGTAAAATACAAACGATATGAGATAGGTAACTGTTGATGATTGATTTTTACAACTCTGTTTGTGCCATCGATTGGTATCTGAAACGTGTTCGTGGGACCAATCCTTCAAGGTAATTTACAAGCTTAACTTAAATATTTAAAAAAAAAATCTTAATTTATCATTTAAGTCAAAAAAACTTGTTGATAAATATTTTTCGTGTATTTATATTAAATTTTTAAACTTATACAACGAAACTATTCATAATATTCTATAAAAGATTAATTAAAATTATAAATAACATTTTTTATAATTTTTTTAAATTGTTGTAAAACTTGGCAGTTTACCTTTTTTGGTTCCAACTCATGTATATTTTTTTGCAGGTATAATATATATCATTAGGCATGATTATATCATTAAGTAGGATGCTGATAAGAGATAAAAAAAATAAAATGAAAACTAGCTAATACCATTTAAACTATTTCGTTGTTCACAGAAATATTTTTCGTTCAATCTCTGATTAGCGAAAAGTATAACAGAATTTCCGTTTTTTTTATTTTTTATTATTTTACAATGGAATATAATAAACAAGATGATTTCTAATACAGTTTTTTCTTTTTATTCATCTGCTTTTTGTCTATTTTAGATCCTCAGAATCGAAGTCAGTCAACAACGTTCACTGATACTGGAAACGGTTCCGAGTTTTGATCGGTAATTTTTTTTACGTTTACCAAGCTGCTACTTCAATTTTGCTTCTTTATGTCCATCAGGATGTAAAATTAGAAAACATTTGGAACTTGGTCGTACGTTTTTGCTTGTTTAAAAGCATTCATAAGAATTGCGTTTCATATAAAAAACTCGTGCTTTTGAAGGAAATATTAACTGCGGTGTTGGTGACATTAAAAATAAAACGCAGTTGATTGAGCATATAAAACAAAAGTTTAATTTGGCCACAATCTCTCAGTGTTTTGAGGGAAAAAATAAACTCTACTTTACCTCTATCATCCTAAATGCAAAAAAGATTCTAAGCAAAAATATACTGACAAGTTTATATAGTAAACATGAAATCTGGTTAGACGGCATTATTGAAATATTTTATACATCAGTAGAACAAGTTTTCACGGGCTCTGAAACTTAATTGAAATGAAAAAATCTGGTGTGTCCATTCACACGAGTTTCCTACCTTCAGAAAAGTTTTTATATCTTTACATATGTCCATCAAGAAACGACAAAAATTGAATTAGATTTATTTTTCTGAAAAATGATAAAAGAAAAAATTTGAGTACGATTTATTTGATAAACTAAAGCAATGTAAACCGGCTTAAGGTAGATCAGTGTAACAATTTCAATACCCTTCAATATTGCTGATCAAAAATCTTTTGCCATTGCCTAATTTTGTCAAACAATAATTTCTGTTAAAAGTAGAGGAAATAATGAAGCTTGTGTGATGAGGGCAACAGATTTTCTTACCTTCAACTAGTCATCTTTTTTCTCTCATTCATCCCTTTCTTACATTGGAAATTAAATAGCAGTAACTTCGTTAATAGTTGTCCGAAATGAACGATTTTATATAGTTTTGTAGGCAATTCCACAACATTTTTAAAAAGCAGGCTAAAAATGTGTTTTTCGAACTCAGGGGACTCTGAAATGTATAGATCCGTCGAAAACCCCATACCGGAAATATATCTTTACATATGTCCATTAAGAAAAAAAAAAAAAAAATTGAATTAGATTAATTTTCCTGAAAATTGATCAAAGATTTGAGTACGATTTATTTGATAAACTAAAGCAATGTGAACCGGCTTAAGGTAGATAAAGTGTAAACATTTCAAAACCCTCTAATATTGCTGATCAAAACCTTTTTGCCGTAGTCTAATTTTGTCAAACAATAAGTTCCCCAGAAAATTTTGGAATATTGGACAGACAGACCAATGTCTAAAAATGTGTTTTTCGGACTCAGGGGGCTCTGAAACGTATAGATGCATCGAAAACCGCATATCGGAAATTTAACCCGATCCCATTACTTTCCTTACCTAGTATAGGTAGGAAAGTAATAAATTAAAATAGAAAATAGATGAAGCTGTATCATCGCTAATACTGGTTAGATTCCGATGATGTTTTTTTGTTTTGTTGGTAATTTAATTACCTTTCAAAAGTATAATATTAAATTTTACCATATAATATATACTTAGCGAGTTTGGCCCCAAAACATTTTCTTTTCTTTATAACTTTTTTTCTTGATTTTTTTCGGAAATTTGATTCATATACGAAAATTGAAAGGACAATTATTAGAACATTATAGGAGGTTTTCATCAAAATCGTTAGGGCCGTTTTCGCGCTACAGTCCATAGAAAAAAATGTTTTTCATATATTGCGCAGCAGCTATTGCGCATGGAGCATCCAATTTGTGTCACAAGCATCAGTAGTCAAACCCCTACAAAATAAAAAAAGAAACAACAAAATCGATTGAGTAGTTCCCGAGAAAATTTCGGCACACACAGACCTATGGCTAAAAATGTGTTTTTCGAACTCGGGAGGCTCTGAAACGTACAGATCCTCCGAAAACCCCATATCGGAAATTTGATCCGATCGCAATACTTTCCTTACCTAGTATAGGCAGGAAAGTAAAAAGAGTCGGTTACTTCTTGGAAGAAAGATCTCTTAACAAACGTTTTGCCGCCTAGTGATGAAGGCTTAGTTAATCTCTTCCGAAATGTGAGGTACAAATTTAAAAATATGAAGTCTACTAATAAAAAAGCAAGCCTTCTCACGGTTCTTCTAAAACATACGTCTAATAATGAGTGCTTTACACAGAGATTTTAGTATTTATCTTCCGAATAAAAAAAAAAAAAAAATAGAAGCCAAGAAAGACTTAGCCAACACCTGCATTTTTTTTGAATGTTTTATTTTTAGACATAGGTGGAAATTGGACTTCAAACATGTCTCAATATGACTTGCGAAACGCTTATTGATGCAGTGATGTGCACAGTCACCCATACAAGTATTGAGGACAATTTCATTGTAAACGTACACGAAAAAGATAAGGCTTTAAGTGAAAGTTTTATGAATTTGCTTGTAATGGTATCTGCCAGATACGACAATACCAGTATCGGTTTTATAATCGTCAAAGAAGTAGAAAAGAACATACTGGTTTCAGACAGAACCACTGAAAGTGTTTCGAAGACTTTTTTAGCAATTACGAATTAGTCTGGATGAGAAGAAAATATTTCGTTATTAATACCATGACACAGATATTCGTCCCGCTGAATTCTAGATCGGCCACACAGTGAAACAAGCAAGGAAAACTTGTGACATCGGCTAAATCTTTTGTTTTTCAGAACTCCAAAAATTAGATTGGTAGAGTGTCCGAGTATATTTTCAGTTGGTAGAATATACATTTTTCTCTGTTTATTGAATAGTTCAATTGAAAAAATATATAAAAATAGATTTAGCCGATGTCTGGAGTTTTCCCTAACTCGTCCCATTGTGCGGCGTACTGCTTACGGCAGACGACGTTGTCTTTGAATTCTATTGTTGGATTCCAAGTATCTTGAAATGCAGTCATTTTGAGAGTTTATTTTTTTTACTTTCATTTACCTATATATCAAATATATAGTAAGTATTGCGATCGTGAAAATTTTCCAATCTTAGTTTTGAACGGAAATACATGTTTTGAGGTCTCCTGAGTCTAAATAATCAAGTACCGCAAAATGGCCTCTGTGTGTAAGTATGTGAACAGTCTAGCTCAAAATCCGAAAGCCGTATGAAAGTGAAATTGCATATTTAAGGTTTTTATATAACACAGGCGTTACAGCAACTTTTTCGTCGAAATCGGGTAACCGGAAGTGCCACATAAAAATAGATGAAAAAGAATGCCAAATAGAAAAATAGATGAAAGCCGTATGAAAGTGAAATTTCGTCAAAATCGGTTAACTGAAAGTGCCAAATAAAAACAGATTTAACCGATCTGGAGTTTTCCCTAACTCGTCCCATTGTGCGGCGTACTTCTTAGTGCAGACGACGTTGCCTTTTCAATTCTATTGTTAGAAAGTAAGGACCAGTATTGCGATCGTGAAAATTTTAAAATCTAAGTTTTCAACGCAAATACATGTTTTGAGGTCTCCTGAGTCTAAATATCTAAGTCCCGCAAAATGGTCTGTGTGTGTGTATGTATAGTCTAGTTCAAAATTGGATAGCCGTATGAAAGTGAAATTGCATATTTAAAGTTTTTATATACCACAGATGTTACAGAAAGTTTTTCGTCAAAATCAGCTAACCGGAAGTGCCACTTTATATCAACTGTGAAACACATTTTTCTCAAATACAGCTCTAATGATTTTGATTTAACTCGGTGTATTATTGTAAAATTACGTAGTATTTAATATCATTTAGGTCTTATCCACATTGATGTCACCTTACAGGGCTTAAATGCCAATGTTCATATACGTCTTCTTCTAAAGTACCTTTAATATGCTTTGTTTAAAAAAAAAATCTCTATTTAAAATAAAAATAATCAGTAACTATAAAAATAGATAAATATGAAGTTTGAAAGAATATGATAACTGAAAACTGGAGCAAAAAAGAAAAATGGTTATCCAGGTCGAAAATGAATCTACAGAAATAATAGTCAGAAGGTATACGTATAATATATCGTTGGAAAGCGGAAAATTTTAGAAAAAAAATAAAATCAAATAAATAAAGTTGTAGAAGATAACGGAGAGGGAAGAAAAAAAATATAAATAATAATTTCAGAAAACTAACATTATTTAACGTACATCACATATTTCCAAGGAAATTTCTTACCAATTGCAAACTTTAAATTTTTTTTCTAAGTTAAAAAAAAAGTATTTAAAATAAAAAATCTACCAAATGCCGTTGTTTAAAATACTATTTCATTGTACTTGTGTGCAAGAAGAAGTGAAATATAAAAACATTTCATGGATATGTTTATAAACTTAAATACATTTACCTTAGTTTAAAAACTCTAGATATGATATTATATTTAAATAATTAGGTATCTATCGACCGTTTATTCCAAAAAATCATCAAATAAACTTTTAGAAAATTAAATTATAAATTATTTGATGTATTTTCCCTTTGTGAAATCCCAACATTATCCACTTACAATTAGTGTGACAACTTCTGACCTATCCCTGGTAGGCAATGAAAGTCTAGTAATTTCATTTTAGTAAACTTTACAATGGAAAATAACTAATTGTCCTAAAATCCATAATCACTTATAGGTTAAATATTCAGATGTACTTTCAAATGTCTCTTGGCATATATGAGCCTATTAATTGGTAGAATGACCAACTCCAATTTCAAAATTCTTTATTATTAATTTTACTGATGTTTCTAGTGGCAAAATTTATACCTTTATTCACATTTTTTTTCAACACTGCTATCACCTACTCTGGAATCTACTTACTCGTTGTCTGTATAGATATAACTTGCCAAATATAAATATCACTAAAAAGACATTACTCAAAAATTTTGAAATTGGAGCTAGTCATTCTGTCAACTGAAAGGATCTGAGACTGAAGTTATGTGGTTTATAAAGGGAGATGGGGTAACTAGATTTTTATTGCCTACAGTTGATATAATAAATAGACTGTTTGTAATTTTAATGGTCTTAATTTTTTGTTATCTGTAAGCCTTAAGCTTTAGCACCGTTTTAACAGCACTTCAAAATTTTTATAATAGCCCATTATTGGCAGAAAATATTTTCTATTCAAAACAGAGCGATAAGTGAAAGTTGTGTGTTGAGCACACCAGATTTTTTTTTTTGGTACGTAGCAAATGTTCATTATTAAATATAATGAACCAAGAATACAACATAATAACAAAAGTTATAAATTTATGTAATGCTTATTTCCGCATATAGATAATTAAAAAAAAGGTGTGATTTCGATGACATTATCAGATCTAAGATATGAGACATTATAGAATTGACATTTTTAAATGTATATATTTGTGGTATTTTGAACGATACATAAAACTTACAAAAGTCGAGTTTGTGATAAACTGGTAAGTTGTGTCATTCTCTATGTTGAAAATGCTGATACCACCACGTGCATCTCTGTACGAAACTTCGTAATCTGAAAATCATTAGGAAAACAACATTAAAAAAAAGGTTCTTTTTCATAATAATATGCATATATAAATATATATATATATATATATATATATATATATATATATATATATATATATATATGTATATATATATATATATATATATATATATATATATATATATATTATATATATATATATATATATATATATATATATATGTATATGTATATATATATATATGTATATATATATATATATATATATATATATATATATATATATGTATCTTATACATACCATCTTATACATACATATATATATGCATCTTATACATATATATATATATATATATATATATATATATATATGTATCTTATACATACCATCTTATACATACATATATATATGTATCTTATACATATATATATATATATATATATATATATATATATATATATATATATATATATATGTATATATAAGATACATTGGTTGACGGAAAGTGTGATTTTAAATGTTTACATGCATACAATAAAAGTGTACTTTTTCCTATAATATAACTGAAACTATTAGTGTCCCATTGCTATTTTACGATAATCTGGAATAGGTACTGAATTATTTTATTTTTATTTATTTTTATTGATTAGTCATTTATTTATTCATATTTACAACTGTATAAAAAAAAAAATCTAGTAAATGTGCATTCAGGAATATAATAATCGCTTCTTGAGAAACTATCCACTGGTAGCACTCTAATAATAAATTTACACAAGAAGATCACGAGGCCACCTTCTTTTCAGACTCCTCTGAGGGTTAACAGGGATCGAGGAAGAAGCAAGGTTTGAAACGAGAGGGTTCGGATGGTTCTGAAGTTTGTTATGGAAGAATAGGTATCTGGATTGGGCAAAATCGGAAACATATGGAACATTAAGGTCATTCATTATGTATGATTTTATTTGTGACAAAGTAAGGAGCGGTTTAGTGGGGCCCCAAAGCTCAATTCCGTAAGTCCAAATATGTCTTATTATTGTCATATATATATATATGTATATATATATATATATATATATATATATATATATATATATATATATATATATATATATATATGAGTCGTTTGTAATTGATTGGAAGCTTAGAGTGTTTGTCTAGTAAGTGCTGGAGTAGTCGGAAACGTCGAGCGGTTTCAGTCTTTCATGAGGATTCCATGTGAGTCGTTTGTCCAGGTGGAGTCCTAGGTATCGGGGCAGGAGGTTAGGTACTGAATTTAAGAAACATTTATTTTGTGTATTTTGTTCAATGAATAGAATATTCATATATTTCACATATTAATTCATATATTAATTTCACTAAATAATGATTAAAACATTTTAGAATATGTATCAAATTTGATTTTGCTTTTAACGTATTTTCCTGTATAAAGTTGTTGGTAATATACTACGCAGGGGGGGGGGTTGCCCCTCCCCCCAAATTATTTGAAAGAAAATAATTTACTAATACAAAAGCTTTGCCCAAAATTCGAGAAAAGAATATTTTAAAAATTGTTGTTGTATGCATACATATTGCATTTCATATAAAAATATTTATAAATTTTAATAATTATAAACTTTTACAAAATAAAATTTTGACCTTCCACTCATCTAATATGAAAGCTGCGTACACCCATAGCTAGCTGTTCTTCTTAAAAACAGTTCAATAGAAAGCAGACTTCAGAATATATAGCCTGTACTGAAGCATGTATAAAGCGCTTCATAAAATACTTATAGCACTTTTATAAGCAGCAAGGCTTTTATGACGTCCTTAGAAAAGTACTTCGTTGTAAGGTCATCAATAGTTAAACTAAGAAATGTATTCTGACAATGATGGTTTCTTTTTTTTCTTTTTTAAGACAGCAACATTTCTCAAACTATGTTTGTGACAAAGTTAACTTTTGTTTTCATTCTATTAAGTAATATATATATATATATATATATATATATATATATATATATATTTTTTTTTTTTTTTTTTTTTTTTGATAGACGAGAAAATAGAAATAGGGTAGAAGATAATAAAATAAGACAATTTCTGGAATCAATTTATATAACTAAAATTATATCAGTAATGAAATTAATGAAATTTTTAATGTTGTTAATTTCAAAACTGATATAAAAGGGATTGGGCCAACATTATGCCGATATTATAAATAAATTGATATTTTAAATGAACATAATAAGCAATTATTGCTTCAGCTAAATTATTATTAATAAGAAAACTCAAAATCATTTTAAATAATTCTAATTATTCTTAATCAATAAAATAATAATAATGACATACAAGCACACAGCAAGTGGACATAGAGCATTTTTAAAAACAAAGAAATAATGTTTTCATAACATTTTAAATGGTTTTTTGTATTTGTTTTTACTGTCCTCATGTAAATAAAGAAATAAACAATAACGACAGTATATGTATTTCTTATGTAATTTTCTCTGAATTTTCCTTTTGTTAGATTTTTATCTTGGGATTTCTTTTTTAATATTTGGAATTAAACAAAAATTTCCCTAAATAAGATTCTAACAGATATATATATATATTTCTTTTTTTTTTAATATTTGGAAACGCCTGAAGGTATTTGGGTAGTTATTTTCATTAGCTTAGTTTCGTTTTGTTTAGTTTAGTTTATACACATTTATTTTAGGATTATTATTTTGCTGTATTATTTATTGTGAATGTGTTATTTGAACACTGTCACGAATGTCCTTAATTGTGACAGATTGTAATATCTCTCAATAAATATGTTTTAAAATATAAAAACAATTTTTATTGAATTACATAGTCATTTGGAAAATATAAAAATTGATTTATTGTTAATTCGCTGATAAATTTTGTATCAGCACATATATATACCTATATAATATTGTTAATAATATTATAGATGTCATTCTTAACTTGAAAATGAGCGAATTGACCTGAAACATCGTATACTTTTGTATGGTAAAAAATGTATTTAATTTATTTTTTTCATTTTAATATAAATAACGTTTTTGAGAAGTACAAAAAGTCATTAAAGGTGTTCCCCGGAATAATAAAACTAGACATTCTATTAAGGATTCTAGAGCTTGAAATCTCAGTTTATAAAGTGTGATGAAATTATATTTATTTTTATTTTTTGGCGACGCTTCGGTCCAAAGTTCAAGTCTTCATAAGGGCTAAGAAAAAAATCTGATTGCAATGGGTATGGGAAATTATTAACAATTAAAAGAAAATAATAGTAATAATCCACCTACACATTATTGTTTTATTTTCAATGTTAATAGTTTCTCATACCCATTACTATCTGTTTTATTCTTAGCCCCGATGAAGGCCTGAAATTTGGGCTGAAGTGTCGGCAAAAATAAATATAATTTATTTATTTACAATTTATTTTTTGCTGAACACACCAAAAAATCTTCTCTACACTCAACCATCAATCTACAATTAAAAAACAAAATAGATTACTGTAAAAGTATATTTCAATCCATTCCGTAGACAGTTTTGATTTTGAAATGCTCATCAAATTATATTAATCATCCTTAAATCAGCATTAAAGATACGATAAAAATTATTACAAGTCATCACACTTTATAAACTGAGATTTCAAGTTCTAGAATCCTTAATAGAATGTCTAGTTTTATTATTCCGAGGAACACCTTTAGTGATCCTTTGTACTTCAAAAAACTTTATTTCATTTTTTTTTTCTTCATAAAAATGAAATAAAGTTTTTGGCATACATAAGTACACAATGTTTCAGGCTATTTCGCCCACTTTAAAGTTAAGAATGACACCTGTAATATTATTAACAATATTAAAGGAAGGAGATGGTCCGGGGTGGCGGTCATAAATAGGCTAAACAGTGGAAAAACTATTTTACTAAAAGCCAACATTCTGACGTGTTGAGTTCTAAGTGAAACTCTTAGCTGAACACACCTTCCTGAAGAAGACTTGCAAAATCGGGTCGAAACGTTGGCTTTTAATGAAATAGTTTTACCACTGTTCAGCCTATTTATGACCGCCACCCCGGTCCATCTCATTCCTTTATAATATAATATATATATATATATATATATATATATATATATATATATATATATATATATATATATATATATATATATAATATTGTTATTAATGTTGGGCTGAAACGTCGGCAAAAATAAATATAATTTATTTATTTTTTATGAATACCCCAACCAATCTTCTCTTTAAATATTTTGTTGTTTGGTTGTATATTTTGAATATAATAAATAATAAGTCATATATTGAGGAAGCTGTGGCCGCCGTTAATTTCTTCTCAAGTGGAAGTGAAAGCCAAAGCCGTCCGCTTGCGATCGATAGTCTCCTTGGATACCGTCGTCTTATTTCAGCTTCACTGTTTTCATGGATCAGTCAACTATTATCTCTCAACCTTCTTCCCACAACCATCAGCACAATTTGGTCGGTATGCGTTCCTCTTCTCATTCCGATAAAGGAAACAAAAGATACAAATAAACTGATAGACTTTATGAGTTCATCCAGTTGCTCAGAAAACAAAGAGCATAACAGATGCAGAGATGTATGGATTAGGCTTATGACTAATTTCCGATGATGTCAATATTGAATACAGGATGAAGAGATTTTTTTTAATCATTTAGCCAAGAGAAACCATTAAAATTACCTTTCTAGTTGATTGTTGGGTTTAACGCCCTTGCGTACTCCAACCAACATAAAGACTGTTGTTAATCCCACACGTTACCAATCTCACATAGTCAGAGTGAGAAGGTCTTGGTTTATTATTTGAATTGAATAAATTAGAGGATAAAACAGCTTTACCAGGCACGAACCGATCCAAGAATACGATCAGCGATAGTAACGAATCGCTCTCAGTATGTTTCAAATTGCATCTTGTATACTGAATTAAACTATGACTATCTGGGTTGACTACAAGAACTAATTCCATGTTCCTTATATTATATTCGAGCTGAAGCCTCATCTCCACCAAAATGGAAAGATAAAGTTTTTT